CAGCAAATGAGCCAGTCTCACCTCCTTAGTCTCCTGTTTTCAGTGATATGAAGAGGAATTATTTACGAAGTTCAACTGAAAAGTTCATAAGCGGACCAAGATATAAATGAAAGTCGACACGCCGGTTGGGAGATTAAAAAAACGTAGAAGTGTACGAGAATACAACGGCTGGTTTGTATTCTGATACACTTGTATATCTTTCAGTCTACCAATTGGTGTATCTACTTGCATTTACGTCATCAGCTTATGAGATTTTTAGCCAACCCTCGTATATTAAATTCAAGCGCTACGTCTGCTGTAAGGAAAGTTTGATTCATTGTGTCGTACCTGATATTTTTCTCGTTATTTATAGATCTACCATTCTTTCGTTCGTTGAATATTACTGCTAAATATGGGCTGGTACTCCTGTTATATATCTCTAGATTCTTAACAACATACAAAGAAGGTCCTTTAATGTTATGAGTTTTGACCCGAGATCTCGGCATCAGTTCCATTCCCGCCGTCATACCATGCCTTCCGAGTGTCTTCTATTTATAGTAATTGTTCTAGTGACCTTTCTTCTTTGGTCTCTCGACTGCATCGATTTAGACGTAGTACTAGATTGGCAATTAGGTCTCATCGTTTTACCGCTGAAAAGCTAGATGTAACCGTTCTATTCTAATAGTTTCTTTTTTCGCATTTCTTGCCAGTGGAATTATCTTGCGGGTCCTCGCTTCCCTGTTAATTAAAATTTTCAAAAATTAAATGCAACATCAATCGATATTTTCTTACTTCTTGAATTCTGTTCTTTTATTGTATCTTTTCCTCACTAACATTTTCTCCTTTCCTTTCCCTCTGAGCAACCCCTTGCAACTTAGTGGCGTTGCTAAGCAATGCCACTAAGATGCAAGAGATTTCATGAAAGGTGTTATTTTTGGTGAAAGTATTAAAATATAAAAATATATAACTAACCTCAATTAAATTACAAGCTGAAATGTGACCATTAAAATGAAATCAAGTCAAAATAATTAGTTACTTAGTTCAAAATAGAGACGAATAGCCGAAATACATTGCTCTACGTATCTTGTATCACTAAAAGCTCTTAGTTAAGTTAGCAAAATAGATGAGAAGAAAGAATTATTAAGCGTAAGAAGAAATAATTAATGGTTATCATAAAAAAAAGACATCCTAAGATTGTCTTCAAAATATCTTGGACATCAGTGGGGGAGATGGATGGACTAATGTCAGCATATTTAAACCATTGTCATAAATAAACTTTAATGGTGTAGGCCTCTGGTGCGAATAGATGACAGCCCGGCGACTAAAAGTAAATCTTTAATTTCCAACCCCAAGAAGAAAATCGGAATAAAGTAGGTCAAGAGAAGAAATTCAAGGAGGTTTTAAAACAAAACATGAAGAAACATTGACATCCACAGTTGCGAAATCCAGTGCAATGGACAGGAATCTCTGGAGATTCATTGTCAGAGAACGAACAACAATCTTTGAATCCAATCAGTCGGTCAAGAAGGAAAAAGAATTTTTATTACGACTTAATAATAACAAAAGAAAATTTATTTAGATATCCATGTTAATATATTATTTCTTGTTCGCCATTTGTCTTTTAGTATTGATCTTCAATATAGTATACAACACCGTCTCAAATATGCATGATCGACGTTTGCCAAGATCGTGACATCAGAGCAGACACCAAACGTGTTAGTGTACAAGGCTGTAATGATTCCAACTCTCCTGTATGACACTGAAACCTGAACAACTTACCGACGATATCTGAAATTCCTTGAAAATTTTGAGTAGGGTTGTCTTCGAAGTATCTTGAACATCAGTGGGAAAGACAGAAGGACTGATATCTGCGTACAAGAACAATCTAAAATAAGCACCATTGAAACAATTATCATAAATAAACGATGATGGAGTAGGTCTCTGGTGCGAATGGATGATAACCGGCTACTAAAAGCAAACCTTTAATTCCCAACTCGAAGAAGGAAACCGGAATAGAGTAGGTCAAAAGAATGGATTTGATGACGTTCTAAAACAAAACATGAAGAAATGTAAGATCGACATCGACAGTTGGGAATCCAGTCCAATGGTCAGGGATCTCTGGAGATCCATCGTCAGAGACGGAACAACAATCTTCGAATTCAAACGATCAGCCGAACTAGAGGGGAAAAAAGACACCAACAACTAAGGCCTTATCTCCCATCTGAAACAATCTATCCTCAATGCTGAAGAACCTTTCAAGAAAACTTGGTCTCATTCAGAGACCACAAAGCCAAATGACTAAGACAAATAAAACAAGGCTATCATCCTCGATTTCGTGGGGATAGCCACGAAGCACTCTTTCGGTTTCTTCTCGGATTTCTTGTAATATTTGTCTCACATTAGTACGATGTCATTTGTATATCTCATATTGTTACGCTCGTGATTCGTAACCCGAACTCGTTGCAGGGTTTAGAGCTCTCTTAGGAATGCTTCGCCGTAATTGGTAATGTAATTCGGTAAAAAAGGGCACACGTGTCTGATGCTACTGAGTACATGTCCCCCTAATTTACGATTAAACCAGCGGTGTTTCAAGTCATATTTTCAGATAATGCAAAAAGTAGAATAATGCCATAGCAAAATGAAGTGACCAAAACGACAAAGATAAGGATAACATTTCCCCGAACAGCGGTAAGAATTATTATCTTATTTCTCTTGCAATATGTACGGAAATTAAGGTTAACCAGCGTGCACATTCATATCATATGAGCGGGTCTATGCAATTCTTCCGACACTCAATTCCTAAATTGACTATTCAAATGAGACATAATCAAATCTTTTATCATGGCTTAAAGCGAACCCGCTTTTCTGTTTGATGAAAAGGGGTCCCTTGTCAGGGTTAAATAAATAAGAAATCGCTTGTTATTACCTTTGTTGTCTTAAATAGCTTCAGTTCTTCTCATCAGTCGTTCAAACATTACCAATGTTGATTTCTGATTCTTGATATTATTGCTGTATTCCGAAGAATAAAAAGCGAGTTAATCGACGAAGTAATTCACACACACACACATACACACAGACACACACACATACACACATTGCTTTGCACTTATTCCAGTTTTCCATTTACATCCATAACGATGGATAATTTCAACAAGAAAACATGGTGTTATCGGTCACCACCTGGCCAGAGAATTAGTTCGAATAGAATTTCTTGCGAATTCCGACAAATTTTGCGGATAACACCATCGGTTGGCTAATGGAACATTTATGGGGCTTTAGAAGTGAGGTTGACTTGCACGGAAAATCCAGCTCCTTCAAATACCAGGAAGCTATGGGTAATTTTCGAGAGAGTTCAACATCTCTGAAAAGTTTTCCGAAATTGATACGACATCGAATTGCTGCATTTCGATGAAAAAGAGAGGGACATATACTGTAGAAGTCACCTAAATCTTGACATTTAGGAGGTCAGGGTATATATCTGAATGAAAAAAAACCCCAAAAAACAAATATTTTTCTTTCCGTTTGGCGTTTCAAATAATGTGGATGATCAGAAAGCATAAAGGCGAATATTTGATCGTAACAGTATCCATATGCATATAGAGTTTCCATCAAGAAGTTATCAATGTTTCGTATTTCACTCAAATTCATATTTCAGTGATATTATCAGTTTGTTTATTTTATTCTGCAGTTCTCTTTTAAGGATTACTTCTTGATATATCTGATGAACATTCACGTTAACTTTTTCCTTGGTTTGAATTTCAACTTTTCTCCTTATCCGGTTCAGGAAAAATTTCTTTCAGGTTTTCGCTTTGTTTCTCTAAGATTTGATCATTTATCTTATCTATGTTTTACTTTTATTTCTTCTAAACGTTTTTTCTTTCTTTTCTCGATTTTCTCAATCTCCTAACTGATATGAATAAAGAATTCCTCATTGGATATTTCTTTATGTTCTACTCTGTTCCTTCGCGGGATTTCTAGCTATTCGTATTTTTTTAAATCCTACTGCATCTCTCGTCTTCGATTTCGAGGCATCTTAAACACTTTCGCTTATATATATATACATAAATATATGAACACACATTATATATATATATATAAACACACATATATATATATATATATATATATATATATATATATAATTTATATAAAACACATTATATATATATATATATATATATATATATATAAACACATTATTATTATATATATATATATATATATATATATATATATATATATATATATATATAGCTTCTTCCTTGCTAAACTGCCATCCATGCCTGAAATAATGTTCTCGCGCTGTTCTTTTATTTCTCAAGGTACTTGAAAAGTTTTATTCTGCTTTACAGAAATGTTAGGTTATATCTTCAGCCATC